AAGGGGGTGGTCCCTGATTTCTAATGACAGTTCATGTCTTTCCTCCCGCCCTTCAGACATGGGAGAACAGGTCTCAGGAGGAGAAAAACACCCAAGAGGCCAAACTTGGGCAGGGAGCAGAGTTATTTTGGAAGCAGCAGAAGGACATGGTGGGGGGAGAGCTACGGGGTTGGCAGTGCGCCCCCCGGAGCCATGCCAGAGCAGGCCACGGGCGGGCTGGCAGGGGCAGGTGGGGGCTGGGCCCGGCTGCTCAGCGACAGGGCACCTCCAGAGCTGAGGTTTTCTTTGTGCCACTGTCTTCTTTCTCCTCCAGAGCCACTAGGAAGTCCTGTCTTTTGAATTCCCCGGGACCTGGGCCCCCTCTGATTAATTGGGTGAGATACAGAATCTAAGGCTGAGGCCAGGGAAACATAAAACCTGTGCCCGGTTTTATGCCTCTCCTGTCTGCTGGTGGGGATGCCTTCACAGCTGATGTTTTCATTCCCTGGACTGTAACTTTTCTTCTAGGAAGAAACCAGATTGTCAGGAAGGTCATTCTTGGGGCCCAGACAGACATATCTAGAAATTGCCATTGTGCCGGTGTCCCTGCCTCCACTGATAATGGTAACAGATGGCACGTACCGCGTTTATTTGAGCACTCCCCCGGCATCATCTCATGGAAACGCTGGGAGAGAGGTACTGGTGTTAGCCCCATCTTATGGATGGAGAGACTGAAGCTTTTAGATGTTAAGGGTCCGGCCTGAGGCCACCAGCCAGTGATTGCTGGTACCAGGATTTCAACCCAGGCAGTCTTTGCCCTGACCACTGTAGTGCCCTGCCTCTCAGGGGGTCAGAGCTGGGGGCTTCTGAGCCCTGAGGGGATGGGCAAGACTCTGGGCATGTTAAACTTGCAGGCTGAGCCGTCCCTCAGCCTATTCCAGCCTATTTCCAGCCTATTCCAGCCTATTTCCAGTTTCTTGTGTTTCTCAAGTGCCAGTGGCTTCGTTCCCCTCTTATTGGCCGGCAGTGTCTTGGGGAGCTCCTCTCTGGGGCTGCTTGAAGGGAAGATGTTGGGTCCTCTGTGAAGCAGTCAGGGTGGGGATAGGGATGTGACGGCAGACGAGGTAAGTTGGCTCACTGTACCAGATGGTCATGGGGTGCGTCCCCCAAGGACCAACAGTGAGGTCAAGAGCACTTCCAGGACAGGGAAGACTGGGCTGGCCAGGGGAGGCCCTGGAGAGGGAGGAGAGGCCCATCCTGAGTCCTGCACAACCGGGGGATTCAGCCAGGGGGTGGGACAGGGAAGGCTCTCCAGGAGAAGGGAAAGCATGGGCCTGAACACAGAACACTGTGGCTTCTGTTCCTTGATCACGACAGCCTTTTCTGTCTCACTCCTCAAGGCAGGATATTCCAGAGCAGGGCTCTCAGCCTTTTTCTCCTTGGGCCACACTTAAACACACACACACACACACACACACACACACACACTCACTCACTCACAACTGATTCAAGGTGTTTAGCAGCTGGGATAAATCAACTAGTCTGCTCCCAGCCAAAGGCATCTAGCCAACCCCAGGCAGCATCTGGCCCCCCAGGGGCCGATACCCTCTCGACACACCTGGAAACACTGCTGTGGAGGAAGAAGCTCGTGTTTGCAGCCTGACTGCACAGGTTCAAATCGCATCTCCAGCACTAACTCGCTGGATGGCCCTGCCTGATTGATTCTTCACTTTCCTGAGCCTCCACTTCTTAGCTTCGACATGGGCGTAAGAACACAAGCTCTTTGAAAGATATTCCTAATCTGGCAGCGTGCTCAGCACACAGCAGATGCCCAATACGTGGGAGCTGTTATTACCCACTCTGATCTCTCTGGGGAGAAGCACCTGGCAGGAGAAACTGAGGCAGGCACAAGGTGGCTCTGCGTCTCACCTAGGCACCTCTGTCAACCTAGGGCTTTGCTGGGAATGAGACGCAGAGGGTTGGTTCTAGAACACAGTTCTCTGCATCCTCTCCTCCAGTGTACCCTCCCCTTTGCCCTTGGAGGTGCTGGAGGAGGTGGAGCGTCCCTGAGAGTGTCCAGACAGGCGGATGGGAGGAGGGTGCTGAGTGCCTTCCATTACACTGGTGTCAGGGATTTGGACACGGTCCCTAGGCTCAAAGCCAAAGCAGTGAGACCGCTGAAGGGGGGCGAGGGCAGCAGCGGTTGTGCACAGGAGGTGCCATCACCGCTCCCATCTATCACCCCAGCCCAGTACGTTGCTGGGGTCACCACAGGGCAGGGAGGGGGTGCTTGTTTAAGTGGTCTACGGAGGACCAAGAATGTCGAGGTTTATTCCACTTCCCCGTATGATTTGCAAGCCTGAATTGTCCCCCGACCTGAGTTACCATTGACTCCTGGGAAACGGGCCAAAGGCAGCAGCCGCTAAGGGGCTTTTAACACCTCCTGTAGGAAGGAAGCCTTCCCAGGTTGACCCAGCCTAAGGATTCTTTTCCCCAGGTGTCTGGGTCTCTCGCAATTTGCTTCATGTTCCTTTGCATAGAAGACTGTGCAGGGCAGTGGGGATATCTCTGTGGGTAGAGTGCGTTTAAGCCTCGTCTAAGCACTGTTGCCAAGGAGCACTGTTCCAATTCGGATAATACCCTCACCCCAGCTCATGTTGAGGTCTCCCTGTCCCTTTTGTTAATGGTCAGTGATAATGCCGCTCAAACTGTCAAGCTGTGTGGGGAGCAAACATTCATTTGTTCACTTAGCGGACGTGGGCTGTCTGCTGTCTGAGAGAGCGCCCTGCTGAAGGCTTCCTCCTGCATCCACCCTGTGGGGCTGGTGTCCTCCTTCCTCCCCTTTCAGACAGGGAGCGGGAGACGGGGGGACACCCAGTGAAGAGATAGAGCCAAGGTTGGAGGTAGGCTTGGGGGCTCCAAAGCTCATGCTCTTTCCTCTGCCCTGGGGGCTCGGAGGAGGAGATAAGACAGGCACACGGATAACTGTGACACATTTCAGGGAGTGAGGCGTGCACCAGGCAGGTCCAGATAAGGAACAGCGGGGCAAGCGCACAGAGGAAGGAAAACTCATGCCTAACTGATGCCATCGAGGCAGAAACCCCTGGAGGGGCAGTTGTGCAAGAGAAAAACCACAGGGGTGGGCGTTAAAAGCCCTAGATTGACGCTCATTTGCAAAACAGAATAATCATCTCTCCCTGATGAAGTGGTTGTAGTAAGCAAGGTCCTGCCTGGAAGAGTGCTTAGCGCATAGAGGATGTTATTTCCCCTGCTGTGAAAATATCAAGTAGGACTGCATAGTTGTGTGTGTTTACGGGGTGTGTGTGTCCTTCTGTCTGTCCGCCTGACAAAGGCTGTCTGCCTCATCAGATTCAGGGCGCCTGAGGGCAGGAGCCATGTCTCTTTGCATTAGAAGTTGGAGCTCCTAGGGGAAGAGGGGCCATACCTCAGGCTGCAGACAGGGAGCTTCCAGAAGGGCAGGATCTGTGCTCCTGATTCCCTTCCTCTTAGGACCACATCACAACTCTCTTGTTCAAATGCCAGTGCACACACACTCACACGCGCGCACACACACACACACACACACTCTAGTACCGGCCCCTACCTGCAGGGGGCACTCTGAACAGGGCCACAAACAATACAGGAATGTGCATTCAGTCTTTCTCCCTCCCCCTTAGCTCCAGATCTGGGGCAGCCCAGGGGCAGGGGTGTCTGAGGATGGGGAGGTGGATCGAGTGTCCAGGGATTGCGAAGATTGAGGCAGGAAGGGGCCGTAAACGAATCCCTTGCCTTTGTGGTGGACAGAGCCGATTAGGAGGCTGGGAGGAGACAAGAAAGGAAGGGGACTATTGTCTCTGACAAAAGCAAGAGAGAACGAGAATTGGGGCAGGGCCTGGGCTGCCCGCCCTCACTTACCTGGGGGCAGACCCAGGAGAGTCTGGAGCCAGGAGCCAGCTCGTTTCTCAGCCCAGACTGGACCCCAGCTCTCCCAAACACCAGCCTTGCACTTGTGAGCTGGGTGACTAGGGCGAACCCCCTAAACCAAGGCCCGCTTTACAGACATACCTCCTCTTCAGTCACACAGGCCCTTGTCTGGGTTCACGCTTCGCTGCCACCACCATACAATTCGTAATAATTTTGTAACTAGCAGCCCTGCATTTTTATTTTGCCCTGGGTCCTGTAAACTGTTCCACGCTGACCCTCTCTGAGCCTCCTATTTCTAGTGTGTAGGATGAGGAATCTCTTAACCAGCCTCTCTTTCCAAGTGGTCATGAAGTCAAATGAGACCCCTTCTCTGTGCTCTGCACTATGATCCCTAACATGCCAGATACAGGTCTTCTGTTCCCACACTCAGGACGGACGTGGGGACAGGGCAGGAATGGGTGGGGGGAGGGGGCGCCTGAGGGACGCCACAGGGTAGAAAAGGCAGCCTCTGTCCAGAGGCACCTGAGGTGGCCTCGGGGCTGGAAGGCACACTGTGTATCACTGGGCTGGAGACGATCTTTGGCCTGAGCGTGGCATCTGCAGGGGGCGAGGCTAAGGGGGTGCCAAGGGGAGGCACAGAGACCACCTGCATCCTGGTGTGTCTACGGATGAGCCAGTTGTTAGACTCTGGTGGGCAAGACCATTGTTTGAACTGGGAAGGCCTCTGTGTGTGTTTTCCCCCTTTCCAGTTTTTCATAGTTAAAATTTTTTTTTAAAAGGGACGGAGACAGAGCACGAGTAGGGGAGGGGTGGAGGGAGGGAGACACAGAATCTGAAGCAGGCTCCAGGCTCTGAGCTGTCAGCACAGAGCCCGACGCGGGGCTTGAACCCACAAACTGTGAGATCATGACCTGAGCTGAAGGCGGACGCTTAACCGACTGAGCCACCCGGGTGCCCCAGTTTTTCATAGTTTAGCAGAGTAGTTAAATGTATGAGCCCAGCTCTCCAGGGCTCAGACCCTGCCTCTGCCTTTTACCAGTCTTTGGGGAAGGATTTACTCTTTGGTGCCTTAGTTTCCTCACCTGTACATGATATGGATGTTAATGATACCCACCTCCTAGGGCTCTTGGGGGGGTTGAATGAGTTAATAAATGGGAAGTGCTTAGAACGGTGTCTGACGCATAGTAACCTCAATGGGTGTGAACTATTATTATTCATTTATTCAACTGACAGACGTTTATGGAGTGTGTGCTCCCTGGCAGGACAGCTGTGCTCCGCACCCATATGGTATTAACAGTTCTCCACCTACAAGCCACAGCGGCTGGTCCAGGGGGGAGACAAAGATTTAGTGCCACCCTGTGTGAGCCCCCTCAGGATATGCTCCCACCCCGCTGCACTGCCCTGTTCTCCCCCCCCCGACCCAGCTCTCCCCACCTTCTGTTGTGGTTTTTCTTCCTACTGTGCGGTGAGGGGCTGCACATTCTGGAAGAATGGGGGGGGGTGTCAATAGGTCTCCTCCTCCAATTTTGTCTGAAACTCCCCTGCCCCCTGCCCACCTGTCGCTGTAGGTCTGCTCTCTGTTTGGTGGAGTTGAAGTCAGGAGACCCTGGGCTAAAATTCTGTCACAGCTGCCAACTTGCTGAGTGCCTTTGGACAAGTCCTCTGGTCTCTTCAGGCCTGCTTCCTGTTGGGCTGGCAGTCGCTGATCCTAGGATGTCGTAGAGAAAAATGATCACGTCTAAATAAAGAGGCAGAGGGAAGGGAGGGGGAGAAGGAGCACAGGTGAGGCCATGTCGAGACGGTGGGATGAGGAAGGTGCCGGGGTCCCCGGAGATTTGCAGCTTCACTCAGTGAGACTTGAGATCCCGGGGGCTGGGACAAGGCATGGCCATCACCAGCACCTCCAGGGCTGCGTGCCCAGCCAGAACAAGGCCCCCCATTAACTATGTGCAGCCAGCGGAAAGAGGAATGCCCACCCCCCCGCCAGCCGACGCCACGCCAACCCTCGTTTCGTTGCTGGCTCCCCTGATCTGAATGCAGAAGCCCAGGGTGCCGCCTCTCCCTCTGCCTGCCCTGCCTCTACCTGCCAGAAAGTATTAGCCTCACCCTCCAGATTGGCATGGGGGTGCAAAGGCACCATGCTGCGGGGGCCCGGGGGACCTGCTGGGGGTGGGGCTTGGGGTCAGGAAATACCTGGGCTAACCCCTAGAACCCTGGTGTGCCCAGTGCTGATGGACAGCCCCGGGACCTGTAAGGGGGCCGGGGGCAGGGGCGGGGAAAGAGTGCAGTAAAAGGAAGAGGTTTGGAAATTCAGACTCTTGCCCCGGGAGCCCTCCTGAAGTTTTGCTGCAGCCCCCAGCCCCTAACCCTGGCTGGAAACCACCGCACACGGACAGACCAAGTCCTTCACCACTCCACCACTCATTCAGTGTCGCCCCTCAAGAGCGTGATCACTGGGAAGTTCTTCCTGGTGTCCCTCCTCCTTCCTGCTGCACTACCCCTGAGTTTCCTTCCTGTTTTGGGCAGAGGGGAGAGAGCCAGCAGCTACCCCTGCTTTGTTAGCCTCAAAGGCCCTGGTGGATGGACTGGAGGAACGTGAGCACGGAGGCAGCCTCAGAGGCAGATGTGGTATGGTCCCCAGTGATCCTGGAGGGGCTGCTGAGGCCGCCGAGGGTCTCTGCCCGCCCCTCCACGGGGACCACAGAGCACTGCAGCTCCCTGCCCCACAGCACTCAGGGCTGCGGTCAGCTGTTCAGTGCCCCTGTGGCCCCAGCGTGCGGGGAGGGGGCAGAGTTGGTGAGTGGAGCGAGGGCCAGATTTCAGCCTCTGCTTGGCCTCTTGGCCAGGCCACAACTGGACCTCTCTGTGAGTCAGTCGGATCAATACTTAGCAAAAAAGTGATTGAAAAGCTATGAGGGGCTGCTTACAGACGATTTATGCCATCTAGTCCCTTGGATCTCCCAAAGCCTTTTTACTCTAAGTACGTGCTTTAGACCAGCAGTATATTTAGACCACAGGGAACTGCGAGAGTTTGCGAAAGCTCAGGCCCTACCCCAGACCTACTGAGTCGGAATCTGCATTTCAGAGCGTGCCTGGCACTTGCCCTAAAGCTTACCCTTGCAATAACTCAGGTCATCAGTTCAGTCTCTGGCCAGCCACTCTCCCCTCACTCTCCCACCCAGAATTGCTTTAACCTCATTTGTACTTGGGTGACGCGCCGTTGGCTTACGTCTAGGGTGATAAGAAAGAGCCCCTAGGACATCACTGTGAGTTATTGCAAGGATGTGGTGGAGAAGTGGGTCCAGACAACAAGTCTGCAGCTCTGGGGGCCAGTCTTCGGAGAAAACCAGGGAAACGGCAACTTGATTTAGGATGCAAGGGGCTGACTGAGATGTCTCTGCTTCAGGAAAACCTTCCCCAATCCCTCAACCTGGGAGAGGGCTCCCCATGGTGTCCTGCTCTGCCCCAGGGCTTGTCCCCTCTGGGTTCTAACTTCTGTCTACTTGTCTGTTTCCCAAACCAGGCTGGGTGCCCCCAGGAAAGCAGGGCCCCAGCTGCCAGTGCCCCCTGGCATCCTCAGCGCTGGCATAAGCGCCTTGCACATAGGTGCTCAAAAATATTGGTGGAATGAATGAGGAAAAGAATGAATGGATGAATAAGCCAATGAATGGCCAGAGGCAGGAGGCACAGAGCAGAAAGCAGCCTAGGCTGAAGCAGATGTGCTCGCCTGAGAGAGTGCCGGGAGGGAGGCCACCCTCGTCAGACCTGGTGATGTCCCTAACCTGGCTCCCCCACAGGCCGGAGGTGTGGCATCCAACCCAGACGGCTGCGGTGAGCGCGGAGCCGTGCTGGGGAGCCTCTTAAGCTGCCAGTTAGCCAGCTCGTGGCCAGGCTTGGGTTTCATTAGAGTGAGGCATCTGTTCTATAAACCCTTCTACTTAGAAGCTTTTGCCTTTCCTGTTCGTTCTCCTTACTATTTTTTTCTTTTTAAAGAACACTGCTTTTGAAAATTTCCATCCAGTTTCAAACAAGCTAAGACAAAGGTATGTGCCTGCCCCTGGGCTTGGATGGAGAGAGGGCTCCAGTAACTTGAGGTTCTTCAATCTCCTGTTGCGTATCTGGTTCTCACGTAGGCTCTGAAGGTCCAGGATGAGTAAGCCCCGTGGTCTGCGTTAAGAGAGATCTCAGGCTGGTGGGTCAGAAAGTTACCACCTTGGAAGTGCTTAGATGAGGATATGCACAGGTTGGTTGTGGGGGTACTCAGGAGGTGGGGGGGCGGCAGTGGAGAGGCACGTGTCCCACCATGGAATCCTGTGACGATCCAGGCTGCTGGGGCCCATGGCCAGGGAACTCTGGGAGGGAAGCATGAGAACACCAAAGCCCTTGGCCATGCCAACAAATGGCGGTGAGTGTTTATTGAGCACCTACTATGACCCAGAGCCTGGGCAATGTACTAGGGATACACAGATGAAAATGAATCATGGAACTAAATTTCTGATTTAAATTCAATAAGGTAGAGGGGTGCCTGGGTGGCTCAGTCGGTTGAGCAGCCGACTTCGGCTCAGGTCATGATCTCGCGGTCCGTGAGTTCGAGCCCCGCGTTGGGCTCTGTGCTGACAGCTCAGAGCCTGGAGCCTGTTTCGGATTCTGTGTCTTCCTCTCTCTGACCCTCCCCCGTTCATGCTCTGTCTCTCTCTGTCTCAAAAATAAATAAACGTTAAAAAAATTAAAAAAAATAAATTCAGTAAGGTAGAAAGTTGAGAAGTGTTGACAAGACACTATGGGCATCCAGAGGGAACTCTTAGCCAGGGTTAGAGCTGGAAGACTTAGTCAGCTTAAGGTTCAAGGAAGAGTCTTTTCCAGAATGAGTCTCTCTTTTTTTTTAAACTAACTTTTTATTTAAGAATAATATACAGGGCAGGGGCGCCTGAGTGGCTCAGTCAGTTAAGTGTCTGACTTCTGCACGGGTCATGATCTTGCAGTTTGTGAGTTCGAGCCCCGCGTCGGGCTCCGTGCTGCCAGCTCAGAGCCTGGAGCCTGCTTCGGATTCTGTGTCTCCCTCTCTCTCTGCCTCTCCCCTGCTCACGCTCTGTCTCTGTCTCTCAATAACAAATAAATGTTAAAAAATTAAAAAAAAAGAATAATATACAGGGCAGAAAAGACTACCTGTCACCTGGTAAATGTTTACAAGCTGAATACACTGGCATTAGCAGCACTCAGAACAAGGAACAGAATGTCCACAGCTTTCCAGAAGCCCTCCACCTGCCATGCCTTCTAGTCTCTACCTGCCCCCACAAGGGTAACCGCTGTCATGATTTCTAACAACATAGGTAAGTTTTGCCTGTGTTTTGCACTTTATATAAACAGAGCGCTATTTTATATGTGGCTTCTTTCCCTCATTGTGTTTGAAGATTTGCCCAGGCCACGCTGTTGCTTGCAGCCATAAGTCACTCACACTCACCTGCCGCATGTATTTGCTTTGGGAGAACGCAGCACGGTCCATCCATTCTACTGCTGATGGGAGCCTGACGCTTCCCAGTGTGGGGGCATTAGGGATAGCGCGGCCACGGTGGTTTTGTCCAGGCATCGGTGAGCATATGGATGGTTTCTGTTGGTTATACACCCAGGAGTGCAAGTGCTGGGTCACAGATCCCGCGGTGGGGTCTTCAGGGTCAGGATGAGTTTCCTAGGCGAGGTGTGGGAAGGGTCACCAGCTTCGTCTGTGGCATCGGGAGGGAGGCCAGTGGCGGAGGAGAGGGACGGGGCAGGGAAGCCCGCAGCAGGGCCACAAGGACCAGCAGTATCCCGAGACCCTTCTGACTATTTACTGTATACTTTCCAGTGGCTCCTATTACAAACTACCGTAAACCGGGTGGCTGAAAATAACAGGAATTGATTCTCTCACATGCTGGAGACCAGAAGCCCAGAGTCAAGGTGCCAGCAGCAAGACACTCACTACAGAGGCTTTAGGGGAGAATCCACCGCACCCCTCTTCTAACTCGTGGCGGCTGCCAGCTTCCTTGGCTTGTGGCCACATCACTCCAATCTCTGCCTCTGTCTCCCCATCAACTTCTTCTCTGTGTGTGGCTTATAAGGGCACTTGTCAAGGGCCCACTCAAATGATCCAAGATGCTCTCCTCATTTCAAACTCTTTTTCTTAATTACCCCTGTGAGGACCCTTTTCCTAACTAAGTATGGTCACATTCACAGGATCCAGGGATTAGGACACAGGCATCTTTTGGGGGGGCCACCATGGAGCCTAGTGTACCAGCCCTCACTGCCATCCTCAGTGTCCCAGCCCAGTTCCCCCCTTTGCAAAGCTCTCAGGCCACTTTCTAATGGCCAACCTGTCCCTGCTGGCCACCACAGGCCAGGCTTTCTCCTGATCCTCAGGCACTTGAGATTCTTCCAGCACTAACGTCCAAGGCTCTGTCCAGCTGTGTCTGTGGTCCTGCAACTCTCCTCAGGTTGCGGTGTCCTCCCTGTCTGCACACACGGGCACACATATGCCTCCTCCGTGCTCAGCGAGGCTTTGCACACAAGGGCACTAGGAACAAGGAACTTAGGCTGAAGGCATCTTTCCAGCAGAGTCCGGTCCAGCCCAGGGCACCTTGCCCATGGCATGCCGGTGGCCAGCCCTTCTCCATGTCCCCTCTCCCCGATATCACCACCTCAGAGGGAACCTGGCTATTACCTTGTCCCAGAGCTTCTGTGGTAGTCCTGATTACACACACACACACACACACACACACCCCACAGGGAGGAGGGAGGAGCTTGGAGGAAGGGGAAGGAGCCCAGCCCTTTGCTCTTCCTTGGAGGAGGCCTGGGAGACAGGAATGCCTTTGGCTGGGGGACCCTGGCCAGAGATCAGAAGATCAAAGGATGCGAAGATCAGGGCTGGGGCAGGTGGCACTCACTTGGAAGCATCAGAGAGAAGCAGCAGCTGGTGCCTCCTAAGGGCAGGGCTGACCCAGAATGCCCTCCACCTCCCCTCCCCTCCCCTCCCCTCCGCCTCCCTGCCCCATTTCCGTTGTGACCCTACTGTGCTGCTCCCCCAGGAGGCAGGGCTCTGGGGGTTGAATGCGGGGGAGGGGGGAGATGCTAACTAGCATCTATATGCCACTTGGGAGGCACACCCACTACCCCCCGACACACAAGGACACTCTCACGCAACCGTCACAATTCCCCTAAGAGAAACCGTGACATAACGCGTTAGAGATGCAGAAACCGAAGCTCAAAGAGGAAAGGTAACTTGTTCAATGTCAAACAACTGGTAGGTGGTGGGGCCAAGTCACAAACTCGGGCAGGCTGACACTGTAGCCCACAAACTACTACACCCTAATGGAAGGCGCAGAACTCTGTTCAGTTCAACTGCAGCATGATGGAGTGAGGCTAGACTTCAGGAAGGACTCCTTGCCGGGCAGGGATGTTAGATCTAGATCTTGTATCTAGTCTTTCTACAAGTCTGATGAACCAAACAGGTAAGGGGTTGGAGAAGAGAGTAGGTTGTTGGGGCACAAGCCAGAATGTAGGACACAGGCAGCAGGACAGGAGAGAATCAGCAAGAAGGAGGCAGGAATCGCCCTGGGGACCGGGCATGCGGGACCTCAGGGGCCTGACGGGGCTCCGGATGGCAGGACTGCCCTCCCACCCCCACCGTGGCCGACTGGTGGTGAGCAACAGCAAGGTGAGGCGAGCCAGCCCAGGTGGGCTTGGAGGAGGGGAGCTGAGTTCCAGAAAGTTCCACTGGTGCTCGAAGCCCCTGGGAGTGAGACTCAGAGCTAGACACCTCCCCGGGGGGTGGGGCCCTCCTGGGCAGACCTTCACCCCTCTGCATTGTTCCCAGACCTGCGGCCTTGGCCCTGCTTCCCGGCCCTTCCAGCCCCAGGGGCTCACGCTGCCAGTGCCCGCGGGGGACCGAGCTGCCTCGTGGTGCGCACCAGCTCCTGTGTGCAGCTGGGTTCAACAGAGCAAAACGGTGGGGGGTTGGCTCTGCCGTTTATTAACTGTGTGAGTAGATGTGAAGTAACTTAATATTTCCCAGTCCTCCTTTCTTCATTTAAAACGGGAATGAATAATGCTTCACTCCCTGGCTTGATAAAAGGATTAAATGAAATGAGACCGAGGATGTGCCAGAGCTCTATTGAAAGGCTTTCAAATAGAGGGGAGCTGGAGAGGCAGAGGGGAGGGGTTGGACACGATTTGGGACTTTGGCATCAGAGGGATCTTGATTTTGCTGGGTCTCATCTGTAAAATGGGTCTGTAAAGCCTTTGGCACAGTGTCTGTCACAGCAAAGGTTCTGAGCTTGGCTTCTGCTCTCTCCCACTAGATTCAGGTTGAATCTGGGACTGGGTCCGATTTCGAACGCCTCCTGACTAGGGTCTTGGTGCTGCCCCTGGCCGGGGTGGGGGTAGGTGGCAATTGGGTGCTCCTTCTTGTGTCTGTCCATGGAGGTAAGTGGAGTTGCTGGGTTGGGAATAGGAGGAAGGGATCCTAATGTGAAAGGAAAACTTCCATTTGGGATGTGAGGGTTGGGGGGGGGAGAGGGGAGGGAATGTGGTTCTGAATAGAGGGGCCTTTCCTCTGTTTTCCACCCCCAGACACACCCTGCCCCTTTATCGGGTAAAATAAAGGGTAAAGGCAGCAGGATCTCAGCTAAACAAACAGGGCTCAGGGCTGTGGTCTGCACACAAAGGGGACTCCCGCCCTCTGGCGGCCCTAGTCCTTCCCACCTGTGCCTCCTCAGCTCCCCCCCCCCCCCCCCCCTCCCCCGGGGGGCCCCGGGGGGGGGGGGGAGCTCAGGGATGTCCAGTTCTGAGGAGGGACACATAGTTCTTCCCCGCAGGGAGGTCTTATCCGATGGAACGTCACAGTCCTCTCTAAGGTGCTTCCGGTCTGATAGGGCAGATAGAAGTCACCCATACATTCCCACGTACAGAAATGATGCCCTTTTAGATGGAGCCAGAGATCAGAATAAGGGCCAGAAAAGATGCTGGCCGGTGAGTGGAGACCAGAGCTTGACCCGATTAAGTGGACAGGTCCCCAGATGCATAGCCACTGCTGCCTTCCCTTGCTAGGTTTATGCTCTACCCTCCTCCTGCACATCTGTCTTACATACCTCCTCAGTCTTCCTGGCCAGGGTCTGCCCATGGCATGCCCAGCCATCCTTGCTGCATAGAAAATGGACCTTGAAGCTGGTGGTGGCGACGGGGTGTGTGTGTGTGTGTGTGTGTGTGTGTGTGTGTGTGTGACAAACACAGGTAACTGGGAGTCATGGAGAATCTCCCAGCCTGTGTGGGGAGACCAGGCACATGAGTGAGCAATCTGAGACCAGGAGATGACAGTTTGTAGTCTAGGACAGGATTGTGTGGCCCAACTCTGTGACTGAACCCTCTGAGACCGGAGTCAAAAGGCTGTACGAATTAGTCTGAGGAGGCCCTGTGACACTCCAGCTGCTTGGTCCCAGCACTCGCCACTCAGGCTTGTAATTGTCCATGGTCTTGTCCTTGTTCCAACTGGACTGGGCTCTTTGAGGTCAGGGATCATACATTGGCCTCCTGGCTGTGCCGTCAGAATTTGAGGAGACCTACACCATACAGATGAAATAGCAGTGCCACCCTGGAGCGACATTACCTGACTTCTGTGGTCTTTTCACCCAGGGCTAAAACTAAAACCAAAAAACCAAACAAATGAAAAAAACCCTTCTACTTTTTTCTCACCTGACTTCTAAGAATGTCTCCTGCCCAGGGCACCTGGGGGGCTCAGTCGGTTAAGCGTCTGAGTTTGGCTCAGGTCACGATCTCACAGTCATGGGTTCGAGCACCGCATCAGGCTCTGTGCTGACAACTCAGAGCCTGGAGCCTGCTTCAGATTCTGTGTCTCCCCCTCTCTTTGTTCCTCCCCAGCTCGTGCTCTCTCTCTCTCTCTCTCTCTCAAAAATAACTCAACATTAAAAATGTCTCCTTCCCTTCCCCTTATCCCTCCCTACCCTACCTGAATTAATTGGGTCACCTGACGATGATGCTCTGGGTTTCCTGTATCTCCCTGGTTCAGTCTGACTTGAGCAAGCCTGGCCGTTGCTTAGCAACCACAGGGGACCTTCTCTCCCCTTACAAATGAGCTCCAAGTCCAGGTGCCAGGACCTCCCCGTCCAGCCCTCCAGCTTCTCTCTTACTGTCCACGACTCGCCTCCGTTCCCTGCCCTCCTGCCACTCCAGGCAGGCTGGGAGACATGGTTGTTATAAACAAGGGAGCCAGAACATGACACGATGAAGCAATAGCCCTTTTATTTAAAACTACAGCACTTTTCTCACTTTGTGCAAAGCCTAAGAGAATGTGCTGTGCTGTCATGTGTATGAAGACAGATACACTTTATCCTGATTGGAGTACACTCCCTTGTTTGGAAATCTGGGAAAATTGCAGAAATCCAAGAGAACTTTGCGTTAACGAGTGTGCTTAGAATCTCCAAGACAGCAAGTACCACGTCATCTCTGATAAGGAGGTGCCATCTAGGGGAATCAACTGGGCAGGGAACGCCGCTTTAGAAAACCCAAGACCAATGTGGTGGGGTGGAAAGAGCATCGCCCTGGGGCTTCGGAGACCTAGTTCTCACTGCCATTAACTTGCTCTGTGACCTTAGGTAACTTTGTCCAGCTTTGGATGTTTCCTCGTTTGGAAACTGATATCGAGCGCAGGAAGAGGGAAGCACCTTTCATTCACGGGGTGTTTCGAAATGCGTGGGGTGTTCTGGAGGGTCGCAACAACTGGGAGACGCTACCCGCATAAGGAGGGATGCTAACAGCCCCGCAGTGAATGACCAGTCCGGTCCTCCCCGCCGATGAACCCCTTCCCCCACTGTGTAACTCGGGGCGTTCTCTGGATGCCTTCCGCTCCGAGCTCAGTTCTGCAAGCTACTCATGTCTCATATACACCCCACCCTCATTTCTGCCGCAGGAAGCCAGCCTGGTTTACCCTATCCCCCTTCTGTGCTTCTCTCTTAGTCTCGAGTCTGGACACACACTTTTAATTGGGATAGTGGCTGCAGGAGCAGCTTGTAAACCACAAAGCAGAGTACATATGTGGGTTTTTTGTTGTTACTCTGTGAGCAAACAATCCTTCCCCAGCAACACTGTAAACTCCTCCAGGGCCCAGACCCTGCCCTGTGCTTTGTCTCCGTCCCCTGCCTAGCACTGTGTCCAGAGCACCGCAGCCAGTCAGGAAATAATGACCCGTAGGTCTGGAAGAGACCTTGGTACTGGCCTAATTGAACCAGGTTCCCTGATTCCAGATTCCGTGTTCTTTCCTCTTCACCCTGTCACCTGCCTCTCTTGTTGACAGAAGAATTCATCAAGTATTCTCCGAGCACCAGATGGTCCCCATGGCAGCCAGCCTATCTCCTGGCCCTTTTCGGGGGGAAGGAACCCCTTCCCCATTGGGCTATTTCTACACTGGCTTGTCCTGCTCCCTACCACCCCCCGACCGTTGCCCTGAAGGGAAAAGGCCAAAGAGAAACCTGACGGTCCACTGTAGGTGTCTGAGGGATCCTTCAGAGGAGGGCCCCACGCTGGCCCTTTCTAGAGGATGCTGAATTAAGAGACGAGTGACCATTGTTAGCGACAGGTCCCATGGATGGTGCATCAGATTGGAACTAACCACCGACTAGGTTCTTTTTAGAGGGTATGCCCTCAAAGAGCAGTGGGAGAAAGTCAAATCAGACAACAGGAAGAACTCCCTGAGAGCGAGGGTTGTCAGCCCTGGGAAGAGAAGCTGGGGAAGGCCGCGTCATCTATCTCCATCGGTCATGCGGTCTTTGGATGTTTATTGCACACTCCTATTTGCCAGGTGTCCCGCTAGGACTGGAGGATACAGAGAGGACTAAGATTAAGTCCTCGCCTTGAAGAGGCTCATAGTCCTATGGGTCATTATATA